ATTTTGTATTTTTTTAATTTAGAAGATTCATATTTTTTTTTTTTTTTTACCTTTTATTGTTATTTTATAAATTTAACATACATACATAAATTCATTTTAATCATTTTCCATATCATTTTGGTCATTCAATACTATGTACATTGTTTAGTGTATCATCTTTCATAGGATAAGTCATCTTTAAATATAATCGGATGGAAAAAGCAATAGCAAGAGAGAGAAGAGAAAAAAAATAAAAAAATAGAAGATTCATATTTGTAACACATTAAAAAAAAATTTAAAAAACACCAATTTCCCTTCCAATTTTCCAAGGTGTCTAGTCATATTTTTTGTTTTTTTTTGTTCAGTTCAAGCTGATAAAAAAAAGAAAAACTGACCGAAAAGAATTGGCCAAAGTGGTTGATTTCTTCATGAGGATGACTTTTAACTTACCGTATCCAAGGCAGAAAGCGAGCACCACGAGCTTGAACATTGTAACGTGTAGAATAACTCGGTTATGTCTAGCGGCTTATATATAGAAATGTTCTGAGACCACCTACAGCAGGTAAGATAATGAGGACCAATAGGAACGCTCCAAATTTCCAGCCAGGAAACAGGCCGGGGGTCATTATACGCAGGGAAGATAAGATTGTGGAGCTAAAATGTTAAAAACAGCTGCATGAGATCTGAAATATTCACAGAGGCCCATATCCTGAGGAGAGGGGGAACCAGATTATTTACACCAAGGGCATCTCTCAATAGAAGCGTGATAGTAGAGAAAGACCAAGTGGTCCTTTCAGCCTGCCCCCTTTTTGAGTTTTTTTTTACCTTTTTGTGTGAGCATAGATCTATTTTTGCCCCAGGCGTGTTTAAATTCACTTACTGCTGACGGTCTAACTACCTCATTCAGCAAAATAATACATTCTAAGGTTAGTGTTGAACTTTCCTCCTACTAGTTTGAGGCCATGTCCCCGTGTTCTTCCTCTAAGCTTCATATTGTAGTAGTTCTCTCCTGAACCCTATTCACACCCTTCATGTATTTATGTCCTCCCTTTCCCTTCTTTTCACAAGGCTGTACTCTAGTGATAATAGGGATCTATATAGAGGGATCAGGACCTCCTTCCTCCTGCTGGGGATCCCTCTAGTGATAATAAAGATCTATATAGAGGGATCAGGACCTCCTTCCTCCTGCTGGGGATCCCTCTAGTGATAATAAAGATCTATATAGAGGGATCAGGACCTCCTTCC